GTTCTTCAACCAGGAAACGCATCTTCTTCCTACGCTTCTCATATCCTCTATTTTTCCTTGAATAATGAGTCTCAAGATTTTGAATCTTTCGCCTCTCATTACATGTCCGAGATATTGCAATTTCCTTTCTTTTATTGTATTTTCCATTTCCTTTTCTCTACCTATTCTCCTTAACACTTCTGCATTCGTGACTCTGTCTATCCATGGAATCTTTAACAGTCTTCTAAATGTCCACATTTCAAACGCGTTAAGTCGATTTATCATGACATCCAAAAATGAGACATGGGACAGAAGGTGCAGGGAGATTGAATCTTATATTGGAGGACGACAATGCACTGAGGCGTGGAAGTTTATAAACTCTGTTAAGAAACCGACTAACGAGAAAGTGATTCTAAATCTCATAAATCCCGAGAATTGGACACATTATTCTTCTTCTTCAGGTGCCATCTCCGCTACGGAGGTTGGCAATCATCATAGCTATCTTAATTTTTGAGGCAGTAGCTCTAAATAGTTGTTTTGAGCTGCATCCAAACCATTCTCTCAGGTTCTTCAGCCATGAAATTCGTCTTCTTCCGATGCTTCTTCTGCCATCTATTTTTCCTTGCATTATGAGTCGCAGGATGCCATACTATCGCCCCGCATCACATGTCCGAGATACTGTAGCTTTCTTTCTTTAATTGTAAGTTCAATTTCCTTCTCTTTGCCTATTCTTCTCAGTATTTCATTGTTTGTAACTCTATCTACACAGGAAACCCTCATAATTCTTCTATAGGTCCACATTTCAAAGGCGTTAAGTCGTCTTATGGTATCTAGATTTAACGTCCATGATTCCACTCCATAATATAGTACACTGTATACGTAACATTTTGTTAGGCGTACTTTAAGAGCTAATGTTAGATCTTTGCCACATAGGACCTTTTTCATTTTTATAAAATAAGAACGTGCTTTTTCGATTCTGACTTTGATTTCTGCCGTGTAGTCATTATTTTCTGTTATAAGTGTTCCTAGGTAAGTCTACTTTTTTACTCTTTCGATCTGCTGGCCCTCTACTATCAAGATTTCGTTAGTATTATAGTTGTTTTTGCAAATTTTCATAAACTTCGTCTGTTTGACATTAAGAGAGAGTCCGTACTCCCTACTACACATGACTATTTTGCTCATGAGTCTTTCCAGGTCTTGTAAACTATCGGCTATTATTACTGTATCATCTGCATATCTGATGTTGTTAATTAAGACTCCATTTACTCTTATGCCGACTGTTTCATCTTCCAGAGTTTCTCGAATTACCTCTTCAGAATAGGCGTTAAATAATAGAGGTGATAGAATGCAGCCTTGCCTGACTCCACTCTTTATTTCCATTTCTTCAGATGTTTCTTTTTCGATTCTTACTATTGCTCGCTGATTGTAATAGAGGTGTGTTATTAGCCTTAAATCTCTTTCATCTAGGTTTTTATTTTTTAGAATTTCCAGGAGTCGATCATGTTTTACTTTATCAAACGCTTTATTGTAGTCTATAAAACAGACGTAAAGAGGACGGTTAACATCCAAACATCTCTGTGTCAGCACATTGAAGAAGAATAATGCCTCTCTGGTACCCATACCATTGCGGAACCCATTTTGAGTGTCACTAATATCCAGCTCCAGTTTAGAGTGTATTCTGGCGTGGATAATTTTCAAGAGAATTTTCAAGGTATGTGACATTAAGCTTATGGTTCGATAGTCACTACACTCTTTGGCATTCACTTTCTTTGGCAAACATACAAATGCTGATGTCAACATTTCTCTAGGAATGATTCCCGTAGTATAGATAGCGTTGAACAGTTCTACTATTATGTCCAGGTTTTTCTCGTTGACCAACTTTAGTAGCTCGCTTGGTAATTCATCTGGACCAGCAGATTTATTGGTTTTCATTGAGTTTAATGCCTGACTAACTTCTGATTTGGTTATCTCTGGACCTACATCTCCCGTTTGGCTATCTACAGATGTACTAGCTTCTCTCTGGTCACGAAATAATTCTTCGATGTACTCTTTCCATCGTCGTAGTTTTTGTTCTGTTTCCAATATAATATTTCCATTTTTGTCGAGCAATATATTTGAGGTTCTTCTATTTCCTACTCCGGCTAGTTCTTTGACTTTTTTATGTAGGTTGATTTCGCCAGAGCCGACCCATCTTGTATCGCTTATTCCTAATATATCGATCTCTAGTCGCATCATCTCTTGCTGTATATTTCTTAGTTTCCCAGGTTCATACATACTTCTTACATTCCATGTAGCTATTTTGTAAGTGGATTTGTATATATTTAGTGAACAGGGATTTCGCTGACTAACGGCCTGGGAAGCCCTGTCGTTACTGCTGTTTCTTCCCCTGCCGAATCTTGGCATTCGAGAACTATGATTAGTAGGTTGTTGATTGTCATTTTTATTAGCCCTGACGATTTCTAGGGATACTCCAAGAGTCTTTAATGCAGTGGTTTCCCGTTGCCTTCTGCATTCTTACGCTGTTGGCCGTTTTCTCGGCTCGTCCGCCTTCAAGATCGATTTCTCAGTCTCAGGGCAAAAGAGTGCCCTTGTCTCTTACTAGCTCGTCCGCCCGCAACCGTTGGCCAATAAAAGGAGTTCTATATCAACCCTAAAATCGAGGGTTGCCACTTCCGCCATCCACACCGTACCGAAGCTTCGCTTCTCCGCCGTGTTTGCCGTTGTGGACTTCATCCGTAACCCTGGACAAGGGACCCTAAACAGGTACTAGTTTCCCGGGTCAGGAAACCCCCGGAATCTGCGGAGGGCAGGGATTGATTCATTTTCCCTGATAGGACTATCTTCAAGAGTTTAAAGAGTTCCTACCCGCTACCCACACATTATTACAAACATCTATTAAATGAGAACAGAGACGAATTTAAACAATATATGAATTCATCAAGAATCGAAATTATGGGAGAGCATATTACCATAGATATCAACATATTTCAAAAAGCTATAGCACGGATGAAGAATGGGAAAGCAAGTGGATCAGAGGGAGTAACTACGGAACTAATAAAGAATGGCCCAGAGAAATTACACAGAATGATCACGGTGATATTTAACGAATATATTAATGGACATCCAACACCAGATGAATGGAAAACAGCATATATGACCCCAATATATAAAAAAGGTGACAGGAGAAATTGGGAGATATCGGTTCAATGAGTCAACTATACGGTCGAATACTACGGGACCTGATAGAGGAAGATTATCAATCGTCCGAAGACGAAGAACAAGGAGGATTTAGAGCAGGTCGTTCATGTACAGATAACATCTTCTGTCTTAAACAAATTATAGAAAAGAAAGTTGTGACAAATAGAGAGTTACATATGACTTTGGTAGATCTTGAGAAGGCATATGACACAGTCCCGCTAAATAAACTATGGGAAGTCCTGGGCACATCAAACATACATCAAACATTGGTTAGTGCTACTAAAGATCTATATTATGGTTCAAACTCCCAAATGAAATTCGGAAACCTCTTAGCTGAAAAATTTGCAGTTACTAAAAGTATTAGACAAGGATGTTGTATCTCTCCGACTCTGTTTAATATTTATATCTCTGCAGCTCTGAAACAATGAAAAAGGAAAGTCATAGGAATGGGTATACAATTGAACGATCAGGATTGCATATATACTTTACAGTTTGCAGATGATCAGGTGGTTATCTCAAATGATAAAGACGACATGGAATACATACTTAGAAAACTAATTAAAGAATACGAGAAATGGGGATTAAATATCAATTTAGAGAAGACAAAATACCTTTCAATTGGAGCTGAAGCAGAACAACTCGATATCGATGACAATCAAAAAATAAATCCATGTGACGAATATAAATACTTAGTACGTAATACGTAGTGGAAAAGACGAACGAGAAATAGAACATCGAATTGTACAAGCATGAAGTGCTATAGCATGTTTGAACGGAGTTCTATGAAGTAAAGAAATATCAAAGAAAAGAAAATGGAACATATATAAAACAATGCTTAAAACTAGACTACTTTATGGAGCTGAGACATGGAGAATAACCGAGAAAGCCACGGAAATGGATGCCATCAGAAGTTCAATGAGAATATCAAGAGCCGACAGAATACGGAATGAAGTGATAAAACAACAAATGGGTATAGAGGACACTATAGTTGAGGATATCGAGAGAAAACAGCGCATATCGTATGGGCATGTGAGCCGAATGGGGGACGAAAGATTGCCTAAAAAAACGATGATGTGGCAACCCCCAGAGAAGAGGAAACGAGGAAGACCACCACAGAGCTGGAACCTGGGAGTTAGAAAAGCGATTAGCGCTCGAAATCTGGACGAAGACATAACTCAAGACAGAATACAGTGGCGTTTGGGAATCGGAAAACGTCGTAAGACGTTATAAAACCGAATATATATAAGTCGATTTATTGTATTCCGGTTTAATGTCCATGATTCAGCTCCATAGTAGAGTACACTGTGTACATAGCATTTATTTAGCCTTATTCTGAGGGCCAATGTCAGATCTTTGCTGCATAAAATCTTTTTCATTTTTATAAAGTTGGCCCGTGCTTGTTCAATTCTGTGATTATCGTTCCCAAGTAAGTATATCTTTTTACTCTCTCAACCTGCCGGCCGCCTACCGTTAATATTTCATTTGTATTGTTGTTCTTATTAATTTTCATGAATTTGGTTTTTTTATGTTAAGAGAGAGCCCGTATTCTCCACTATATCCTAATATTTTGTTCATTATTCTTAGTCTTTCAAGTTGTCGGGTATTATGACTGTATCGTCATCATACCTAATATTGTTAATTAAACTTCCGTTCACTTTTATGCCGACTGTCTCGTTTACCAAAGCTTCTTGTATGATTTTCTCAGAATACGCATTAAACAATAACGGCGACAGTATGCAACCTTGCCTTTAAATTGATACCTACATACAAATAAAACTATTTCCTTAATATTCTAAACCATATGTATTAGTTCTATTACTTACAGAAATCTATCATCTGATCAAGCAGAAAGTCGTTTTCCTCTTCTGTTTCAATACTAACTAAATCCATATTAAGTGATTTGCAAAACTCCATTGCTTGGAACCAAGTACCCTAAAAAAATTTGTTGGTTTTTTATATTACCTGGCAATTTAAAATAGTTACTGAGAACTATAGTATATTAAATTTGGTTTGGAAATTTTACTTCCTACTTTTTGTTTGCAATATATTTGCAACAATAGATTTAAGTATCCAGTTGTGAGTTTGTGTCTGTATCTGAAATAAAATATCCAGCGATTTCAACATACAATGGAAATCAATTGTGTAATTCCACGTCAACTATGTAAAGTTGGTCAGCCGATCCCTCTCGATTTAGCTAAAATTTTACAGGCGTATTCTATACTATAAAATATGATGATTTACCAAATTTCAGCTAGTCTATACGTATGGGCAATTGTTTCCAAGTAAAAAATTTTTTCTTAAAAAAAAGTAAGGGGTAAAATATTTGGATCTGGACGGATGAGGTCTCGTTGAAAAGGGGAGAGGTAACTAGTACAATGGCAGGCTACCAAAAGGATCTTAAGCAAAACGGTTTAACAGACAAGAACCAGCCATGACTCACATAATTTAACAAATATATTGCTAATACACCAGATGTGCCATAAAGGCCTTAAGCTAATATTATTTAAACAACTTAAGATACAAAAAGTACTGCTTAATGCGCCGAATGTATCGAAATGGAAAAAATCAAACATGACGTTATATCATAAAGACCTTAGCTCACTCGCACATTATGGACAGACTATCGAAAGACCTAGGTATACACATATTTAGCCTTAGACACACACACACACACAATTATTAAGATAAAAAATGCTAAAGAAAGTATTGTTGTTAAAAACAGTACGAAAATTAAGAATAAACTGTCTAAAGTAAAAAAACAAAAATTTATTTGACAAGTAATGATGCCTACCTCTCAAATTGTTAATCAAAACAGTACGAAAAACATGAAAAGGCATATTAGATGTCTTGAGTCATTAATTTTTTTTATTTTCGCAATTTTAATTAATTAAGCAAATCACTACAGCTGCAAAACAGTACAAAATAAATTACTTAAACTCTATATCTAATTTTTTTCTCTGAAATTTTAATTTACACACCAGAATTTTGTGTCCTGGAGAAAAGTTAGAAATTCTAAAAAAAAATTATATTACTTATATTAATATTTACCCAAGAATAAAGGACCATTCACAAATTTCTAAATTTCAATTTAATATTTTCATAAATTGCTTTATTATTTTTGTCCCAGCTTTTTCAATTTTACATCGTAGTGGGTATTTAGATGTCGTCATACATTTGGTTTTTTGTGCTGATATTATTGTATTATCATATTGTATTTCTTGGCTGTTGTATTAAAGATAAAAAATTTTTAGAATTTTATATTTATTTTTAATAAATATTTTCTGTCAAGAAAAACTACAGGACAGACAGATAAAGCGAAACAATATGCTTCAACAAGGAACAGCGGAATGTAAAAAAAACTATGCAATTTCACGCCGAGAAACAAAAAAATCGATTAGAGAAAAAAAGGAAGTATAAATAACAGAAATATAAGGAAATGAAAAGGAATAGGCAACAGTCAAATAGTCGAGCATTTTACAAATTATTGTCAAACGAAAAGGAAGGCTTTAGACCTAGATGCGTGTCTGTACTCAGAAAAACTAGAGAATTAATAATAAATGAATAAGAACTGCTCCAAACATGACAAGAACATTTCAAGACTTTACTAAACATACATCAAGAGGAAGAACATGGAGAAAATATATATTTTAGGGTGAACCTACCGGTAGAGGTGCCCATAACAGATTAAACATTGGAAGCAATTGACAAATTGGAGAACACTTACATGGAACAAAGAGAAAATACCAACAAAAGGGCACGAAAGTGTATTAATCTCCATCCATAAAAAGGGAGGTAAAACCAAGTGCTCTAATTATAGAGGCATCTCCCTACTTAATACGGCATACAAAATATTATCGAACATCCTATTAGGTAGGCTGACACCGTTCGTACCGTAGAAAATTTCACGGGGAAATACCAAGCCGGCTTCAAAAACCTAGATCGACCATAGATCAGATATTTACTCTAAAACGGCTGCTTAAAAAAGGATAAGAATTCAATAGAACTATTCATAATCTCTACATAGATTTCCGCCAAGTGCATCCAGCTTGTTAAGTTATTTGTGAATAGCTGTAGATCCAGAATCTTTCAAAATAATCGGTGGTCTGAAACAAGGGTATGCGCTGTGACCTTTCCTTTTTAATACCATCCTGGAGGAAGTAGTAACACAGTCAACAATGTGAAGGAGACTTTTAATAATTTGGAGGTAGAGGCAAAGAAAACAGGTTTAATGATAAACGAAGAGAAAACCTAATACATGTGCATTAACAGACAAAAGGGACCAGATAGAATAGGACAAAATATTGCAATAGACCCATATAACTTTGAAAGAGCGAAAAGTTTTAAATATCTCGGAGCAACAATCACTGCAGATAACGGTATCGCGAGATATCGTTATCGATATATAACACCTGTAAGAATATAATAATAAATAAACTTTAAATGCAGTTGTAAGTATAAAAAATAGAGAACCTTTTGATAAATTTGATATACTTAAACCTTTTTCACTACATCACTGCACACATGTATAGTTGGTTGCCTACCTACAACAACATAAATTTTTCTTTCCACATCTCATCTCATATAAAAAAATTTAAAACAACAACATTGATGGTGGATACTGTTATATTAATTTATTTTATTTTGACAATTTTAAATAACGTTGGCTTTTGTCTTAAGTAGAAACATACAGTTATATTGACTGCTCTGTTACAACTTCCGTCATAACTTAATAACATTGTCATTAATGTCATTGCCATTCAGTTGCTCCTATACAGTCTTCGTAGACACACCGTCTCAAGACTAGCAACTTCAACGTGGAGTCATATGTCGCCATGTTACCTAATCCAACGGTAACTTCAATATCTTAAATCAATATAAGAAATTTTGTAAACTAAATGTAATCAAGTATTTGTTAACGGGTTTTTACCCATATATTTAGTGGCTACATTCATGTACTCTTAGTAAGTATTAACCACACTTTGTATTAACCTTAGTCAAAATTTTAAACCTATGTTCTTTTTAATTAAGTGGTTAAATATTTTCTAGGACACTTATGATGGAATATGGATACCAAAAACGTTTTGTCTGTTTAACTTAGCCCGTTTGGGTTCTTAATATATACCTTTTACAAAGGATTTTTAATAAATTTTTAATATATGGTATACAGCCAACTACAGGAACGTATATTCCTTGTGGACTTTTGATAAATAATAAAAACAATAAATTAGATTTAATAAAAATACAACACTAGCTTTAAAACTCACATACCAGAAGAAAGAAAAACAAGATAGAAATTGCTAAACAATATGACATATGATAATAGTGATAATAGTTCATTCTGGAATTGACTTAGAGAGGTATGGAACGGAGAATCCTCGACATTCTCTGTTCCAAAAGAACAACAAAAGTTGCAGATGTAATCCAAAACATTGCCATGTTAAAGTGGAACTGGGCAGGACACATAGGAAGAATTAAAGACAACTGTTGGATAAAGCAAAATATTGAATGACGACCAAACGCAAACAAGAGAAGTAGAGGCGGACCTCAAAACAGATGGATTGATGGCATCAAGCGAATGGCTTGTCACAAATGGATTCAAAAAACAACAAACAGGAATAAATGGACACACATAAGAAAGACCTATATTTGACGCTAGATATAATAGCTATTGATGATTACGATGATTATCATACTACACGTTTTCCAAATCCAAAGCTGAAGAAACGAAACGAAGCGACCATTCCTAAATGTCTGAATCATATTCATAAAGTGACGTTTCATTTAGTCATTTTTCAATTATGAAAAACTTCCATTCAGTGACCTTGGCTCCCTTCAGTTTTTTCCTCCATCAACAGCCTTATGAGCTCATAATGTCTTCTCCAGATTTCTCTACCAGGGGGCGTCCAACCTTCTCATAGCATTTAAGTTCATTGTGCATGCCTTTGTTCCAAATAAGAGAATAGAATATGGACCTGTAATTCCGTAAAAGTGTTGTATAGTTAAACAGTAAGAAATGTGGATTATTTAATTCGAGCGCGGATTTTAACTTTCGGTCTACATCTTTATTTATTCATGGACCAAATTACTCAAATTTATCATCATCACCAGTACCTCGACAACCCTTTTTGGGTCCTGGCTTGTTCTAAGATTTTTCGCCATTCTGGTCTGTTCCTTGTTTTGTTTGTCCAGTTGATAATCTTAAGTGTTGTAAGATCTTGTTCCACTTGTTCCATGTATCTAAGTTTTTGTTTTTCTTTTGACCTTCTCCCTACTGGTGTTTGCCTCATTATATATTTTGGTGTTTTAGTCTCCACCATTCGTTCAACATGGCCCATCCATCGCAGACGTCCGATCTTTATGGATGTTATGACTGAAATTTATTAATACCTTTATACCTTTTTCAGAGAAACTATATATCAAAACCCAATAATATCATCTTAAAGTATTACCAATGAATAATAGCGGCATGAAGATTTTTGATTTATTCTGTTTCGTTGTGTACTAATTGCATTCCGCCATTCATAGTGTGGCTGAGAAAGTCGTATCTTGATATTTCCTTTTTATTTCCTGTATCACTGTGTGTTTATAATACACTATTATAACGAAAAATACAGTATTCTTCGACAGAAGTATCATGATGTTTTTAAATTTACTTAAAGATGTGGATATTGGAAACAAAAAATTGTAAAAAACAAACAAACTGTGAAGAGAATATAGAGTAATAAATTACTTACCTCCATTGTATATCCAAAGTAATATAAAGTATTTTCTCTCTGCTCAAGTTTAAGTGCTGGAACTAAAGCTTGTTCTATACCTGTATCTAAAACGGCAAAATTTCTAATTGATACGAAATTTAGTAAAATATTTAAATTATAACAGTTTTCCACATTATTACGAATTATTACGAATTTGAAAGTTTCTTTAAAACGAATCACAACGCAGAAGTTTAAATAGTGCGAACCAAAAACTGTGTTGTGTATGTATGTGTGTGTTTTTTTAAGTTGGTAAAACTTTTATGTATCATTAAGACTAGATTTACTGCCTGGTATGGCAGTTTTCTCCACGGTAAAACATTTTTTTTATAATTCGATTGAGAGGTCCTTTATGAGAATGTAACGGTACTTTTGATATTGTATTTTTATTGACTACTTCTTCGATATTTTTCAACTTTTTTATTTCTTAAAAGAAGTACCGAAACATGCAGATTACTTGATGACTGCTTTGTTAGAAATTTGAGAGCAATCGTTATTTTTTTTTAACAAAGAATATTTAGGCCCTTTTTTATAGCGCTAGGAAGAGAGTAATAAAATTTGTTAAACTTCTTAAAATAGCTTTAATTCAAAGAGAACCTTTCCCTCCATATGATACAGTTACTTGTTTTTTTGCTTCTCTTTTTCAAAAATCCCGTTATGTTTATGTATTTCCGTCGAAAATAAAAATAAGTCGGTTCTTGTTAAGAGGGAATTCTTTAATTGGGGATAATCCTGTTCTAAGAGATAGTTTGTGCAATTTGAGAAAGAGAGGATCACTTTTCGTTGGGCAGTCTAAGAGATTAAACTGAGTTTTGGTTGCGTCGTCTAAGGGTTTCGACGTATTTCTTTCTCTAATAATTTATCTATAAGTGTGTATATTTATACACTTTTATTGTAACTCAAGTAGTTCGATCCAACACTCGAGTAGATCAAATAAGGCGCCTCATAGCAAAACTCACCTTATCCAAATTTTACGAAAAATGAGGTTAATATGGTAACGTATTCTTAAGGTTGATATACTCCTCTTACAGTAATATTTCCGTAACAAATGTTGCTTTATCCCATTAATATTCATCCACAAAATATTACTGTCAGCGCAAAACTCGCCTTGTCCACTGCATCTTATGTGTCAAAACTCGCCTGATCCACACATTTTATAAGAATGCTGGAAACATGAAGCACGTGATCCAACCTGACAATTTTATTTTTATTCGGTTGTTGAGGCAGTATATTAGCAAACGTTTGTCTGTGCAGTATACTAATATGTTCATTGTTTTTTGTTTTATTTGATGAATTTGTTCAAGTTTTACTTTTTGAAATCCTACGAAATTCATTAGTCTACACATGGAGCAAAAAATAAAGTCGGCAGAGAGAGGTAGAAGTAGAAAAGTTGTTGGAGACAAATCAAAGTGGAGACGAGAAATATTAAAATGTGAGCGGTATGTTGTAGCATTGTCCAAAATTGACAAATATTAATAAAGTTTTTCATTTTTTTGTAGGCATTCTGCGACAAGCTTGCCAGTATATCCTGTGCAATCATAACGGAAAAACATATAAATGTATGAAATTAAGTAATCGGGACATTTACAATTTTCATCGTAACTTTTATCAAGAGAAAGCAAAGGTTGAGCAAAATGCATACATATTAAAATTTTGTAGATGATCTTAACCAAAGCGAGATAGACAGAAAAAAAATAGCAGTAGAAAAGGCGTAATGTAAAATACTTTGTAAAAAAATCTGATTGCGAGAAGTTTGATATTCAGGTTTGCCAAAAACGATTTTTAAACATTCTTAATATTTCTAAAGCTCGTGTCCAAAGAATTGTAAAGCAACATCTTGAAACCGGACTTATGCTCAGAGAAAAAACGTGGTAGTGATCGCACAAGCAAAAAATATGAAGAAAAGCGAGTGGCCGTTAGAAAATTTCTGTAAAGTTTGAAAGGTGTCGAAAGCCATTACTGCCATTCAAAGTCAAGTCGGCAATATTTGTCTAGTGATTTAAATATATCCAAACTTTGGAGGCTTTACAACAAAGATGCTACTATTGAGTTAAAAAAAAACTTTTTTTTCATCACATATTTTTAAAGTATTCATTTGACTCTCGACCTGCAAACATCGCATCGATACAAATTAGGCGAAAGTTTACAGTGTGATTAAAAACGGGCTCCGGCCGCGTTTTTACCGTCATTATCGTGTATCAAGTGGATATACTATTTATAAACTATTTAAAAATTAAAATATACAGTTTTAACAATTAAAATGAGTGCTCCACCAGATTTATCGGTGAGTGTTCCTTTTCATACTGCTACTGTTAATGGTCAACCTATAAATACTCAATATCAGCAACAACAAATTCAACCAGAATGCCCAAATGTCCTTTTTGCACAAAATTCACAACCAAATTCAGCACAAATTTTAAACAATCCACCAACAACAATATATTATGTTCCTAACCAAGTACTATTACAATCTTCCTCAAACTGTCAATACAATCCTACAATAAATCCCACATTATCTACACCTCTAAATGAAGCTTATGATTCTATTGAGATGACACATACATTACAAGGTGAAGAATCTTCAGAGGAAATCAGCGACATTGAGTCATCGGACATCCACGAATGGCAAACTATACAACATAGTAACAAAAAACGTAAAATTAATCCTCCGACACCAACAGAAAACGAAGACACGGTAGTAACCAGCAATAAATTTCAGATTCTACAAAATGAAAACGAAAACGACAACAATAACAGTACAGAAAATACCAACAAAACTCCAGCAACCAATAAACCCCCACCAATTTTTATATATGGTGTTACTGAATACAATAAAATGGTTAATAATCTATCGGAAGTAGCAAAAACAGAGACATTCTATTGTACAGCATTAAAAAACAACACAATAAAAATAAATTCCCGGGACTCTGAAACATACCGAAAACTAGTAAGACATTTAAACAGCAAAAAAATTGTGCATCATACGTACCAGATGAAAGAGGATAGAGCATACAGAGTTGTAATTCGTAATCTACATCATACAGTGCCCATTAATATAATAAAAAGTGAAATAGAAAAACATGGGCATTTAGTACGCAATATTGTAAATATAAAACATAGAGTAAGTAAGGACCCTCTAATGATGTTCTACGTCGATATAGAACCTAATCAAAATAATAAAAAAATATATGAAATTCAATTTATAAACAACGCGAAAATAGTTATTGAGCCACCGTATAAAAAGAATAATATTGTCCAGTGTACCAGATGCCAATTGTATGGACACTCTAAGACATACTGTAATAGACCTTATCACTGTGTCAAATGTGGAGGCAACCATATGTCAGCCGATTGTAAAAAACCTAGAGACACACCTGCCATATGCGCTCTCTGCAATGGAGCACACACTGCAAATTACAAAGGATGCCTAGTATATAAAGAGTTAATTAGCAATAGAAACAGAGCAAGAGGAATATCATCGCACACTCCAGCGAACAATCAACTGCCATATAACAGAAATACAGTACAGAATAATCCGAACTTAAGCAATCAAAATCACGCGACTTACACACAAGCAACAGGTGGAACAAATGTAAATAATCTCCATAATAATACGAACTCATACAACCAAAATCAAGCAACTTACGCTCAAGTAACAAGTGGAACACATGGAAGCAATACACACAATGACATTGGAGAGATGATGAAGAGTTTCCTTAACGAATTCAAATCTATGTTTTCACAACTAATAAATCAAAATAGCGTGATCTTAAACATGCTTTCCACAGTAATAAATAAACTCAGTAATGGAACTTAAGTCACTACGAATTGCACAATGGAATGCCAACGGCCTAGGCAACCATAACACAGAAGTTACTAACTTTCTTGAACATAACAAAATTGATGTTCTACTCATATCGGAAACCCATTTCACTGACAGAACGATGTTCAAGATCCCTCATTACTCTATTTACAATACCAACCATCCTGATGGAACAGCACACGGTGGCGCTGCTATTATTATACGTAACACCATACCACACTATGAGGAAACAATGTATCAGACGGAAAAAATACAAGCTGCAGTAATCTGTATCAGTTCTCAACCACAGTCTTTTAACATCGCGGCAATGTACAGCCCTCCAAGGCATAATATCTCCACAGCAGAATATGAAGACTTCTTTAAACAGCTGTCAAACAAATTCTTGATTGGAGGTGACTGGAATGCCAAGCATACAGACTGGGGGTCGAGACTATGTACGACAAAGGGAAGAAATCTTAGGCAATCCATAGCTAATACAAACAGCTCTTACTTATCTACAGGGCAACCCACCTACTGGCCATCAGATCCAAACAAAATCCCAGATCTACTGGACTTCTTTATCCTTCATAACATGGCCTTAAATTATTTTGACATACAACCATCCTGGGATCTATCCACCGACCATACTCCCATAGTTGTAACACTATCTACGCAAATTATAAAACGTCCGCATATCCCTAAGTTAACAACATTAAAGACCAACTGGAATGTATTCGAGTCTTACATAAATGAAAATTTAAATTTAAATATAAGATTAAAGCAACCAGACGATATCGATAACGCTGTGCTTATTCTCACCCAAACTATACATGCAGCCACAGAAATAGCTACACCCCCTCAGAATGACAAAGAACCAAGTGACACCAATATACCCGTGTATATAAAACGTCTTGTAGCACAAAAAAGAAGAGCCAGGCGCACATGGCAAAGAAGTCGCAATCCTATAGACAAAAATGAATACAATAGATTAACACGGCAACTTAAAACTGCTCTACAAGACGCGAGGAATGATACATTTGAACTATTCATCGACAGCCTGTCAAAAGAAGACCACAGCATCTGGAAAGCAACGAAATCATTCAAGAGGCCTACACAGCACATACCACCTCTAAGGAAAGACGATGGAAGCTGGGGAAAAACTGAACAAGAAAAGGCATCAATCTTTGCTGCACATCTCTCACACGTTTTTGGTGCACCTGAACTTAATAACCATAATGACGAAGAACAAGTTAAAAACTTTTTAGACACTCCATGCCCAATGATGCTACCAATCAAATTCTTTACTCCTAATAATGTAAAAGAACAAATTTCTAGATGCAATAACTACAAAGCACCAGGTTTCGACATGATCACCGGGCTAATATTAAAAAAATTACCGAGAAAAGCAATTGTCCTACTAACAATGATATATAATAGTATCATAAGATTAGCCTACTACCCGATTAATTGGAAGTTTGCACAAATAATTATGATAAGTAAACCAAATAAACCACCAAATAATATTACTTCATATAGACCAATCAGCTTACTTCCAATAATGTCAAAAATCTTTGAAAGACTTCTGCTCCAAAGAATCTCAGAAGACATCGAAATTAATTCAGTGATTCCAAACCACCAGTTTGGTTTCCGCGAAGCCCATTCAACTCTACAACAGAGTCATAGGATTGTTAAAAACATTAATGTATGCCTCGAAGAGAAAAAAATTTGCACTGCTGCCTTCCTGGATATAGAACAAGCCTTCGACCGCGTTTGGCATGACGGCCTCCTATATAAACTTAAATCATCCTTTCCCACCCCTCACTATCTTCTTTTAAAATCATACCTCACAGAACGTTACTTTCAAGTCAAATTCCTTACAGAAACCTCTCATTACTATCCCATAAAATCCGGTGTCCCTCAAGGAAGTGTCCTGGGTCCCCTCCTGTACCTCATATACACTGCTGATATCCCAACAACAAATACGACCACAGTAGCCATGTTCGCAGATGACACCGCCATAATATCCATCGATGATGACCCCCAAGTAGCATCAGGAAACCTTCAAATACACCTGAACCTAGTACAAGACTGGATGAATAGATGGAAAATCAAAGTTAACCATAATAAGTCTAATCAAATTACATTCACCAATAGGAACATCAATGTCCGAGAATCAGACTGAACAATATACTACTACCAGTAAAAACAAAAGTCAAATACCTGGGAATGACACTTGATCAAAAACTCACTTGGAAAGCACACATCTTGGCCAAAAAGAACCAAATCAACATGAAAATACGTCAAATGCATTGGCTAATAGGCCGAAAATCACAGTTATCAACAGATAATAAACTTCTATTGTATAAGTGCATAATAAAGCCTATATGGACATATGGAGTGCAACTATGGGGCTGTGCAAAGCCTTCTAATACCAAAATCATTCAGAGAATCCAATCCAAAATACTCAGAATGATTTTCAACGCGCCGTGGTACGTTAGTAACAAAACTCTGCATGATGACTCTGGTATACCGTTCGTTGAAGACGAAACAGCAGACTAACAAGAAATTATTTAGAACATCTGCCAACCCACCCCAATGAGGAAGCAAGACAACTACACCTCCAACCAGAAGTCAGACGAAGATTGAAGAGACAGTGGCCAACAGACTTTATACAGTAATTTCAATTTTAATTTTACTTTTCATCTCAATTTTAGTTTTAAATTATAATCATACATTAATTTAATTTGTTAGTGTTAGTATTGGGAGTGTTATCAATGGATAATTTCTCCTCTCATGTATTTGCAATAATCACATTTACGATGCTTGTTCCAAATGCATTGAGATTTCTGAAAAAATTAAATTAGAAAAAGACGTCGTTAAAAAAAATGTACTTTTGATAGAAAAAAGGGTACATAAGCTAAAAGACAATGCTTTTTTTGACAAACTTAAGAAGTTAGATCCTAATTTAATAACCTATTCATTTGACTGTCAAAAGAATTTGGTCCATCCCAAGGTCCCTGACCAAATTGCCTATTACAGCAGACAGTATACCCAATTCAATTTAAGAAAAAGGCAAAAAGTTGGAGCATCTTTCTCCAGAAGTTATTCCAATGGGTGTACCAGTAAAACCTGCCAAGTTAGCGGATGTAAACAATTTATTGGAGAAGCATTTTGGAAGGGAATGGAAAACAAAGGGGAATAATTTAAAGTTCTTTAAAGATGTTTTAGAGGGAATAGCGCAACCATTGATAGAACATAATTCTGAAGAAGTTCTTGACGAAGACCATTTTTGTGAGCCAGTGAGAACGGGAGACAATAAAGACTTAAGAATTAAGTTTACAATTAATTATATTTTGCTTGAAATAATGTATTTAAACAACAATAAAGAAACTTCCTCCATAAACCCAGTGGGATTCTAATTTTTTTTGTAGCATAACTTGCCAAATCCAAATTGACGGATCAAAACTTGCCTTATCCATTTTTGTTTATTTTTTTTACCAAATGATGATATTGTACGTTTAAATAAATTAATGTTTAAGTTTTCTTACATTTTATTGTATATTAACACTTGGTGTACCTTTTCGCTCGTAAAAAAATAACTTCGGTAAAGGTTTTTTCGATTTTACAAGAAACTTCATAACGTGAATAAGACAAATTTTGATATGAGACGCCTCAAATATACATTATAATTTAACTTGTATTACACTTGTAACAGTGTTTGATACTTAAGTTGAGTACAGTTTAAATTCAGTGCAATTTAAGAGGTAATATCATCTAAAGTTACTGTTAGTGGTCTTACTATTAAAGACTATAACGTGTAAACACGTACCAAAAATAGATCACTTGAGAAAGGCAATTAGCCGAAACAGCTGTAGTGATATTAATTTAAAACAAATTTTGTGAAAGTGTTGAAAACAAAAATATTCAACGTTTTATTGTTGTAATTTTAATGTTTAATGTCAAAATCCATGATATGGTCTTTGTATTTTGATTCTGCAGTCACTTTTGTGGGAAATAATACTCACTCTGAGTATAATCAATGTTATACAGTACATTAATTTTCTCTAACTTATCTATAGAATATTATTGATCTTAAAATACAGATATATAATAGTTTTGATGTTTTTTGTTGCTATTTTTACAGTGTCAGTAATCTTTAAAAAATGTATTGACTTAGGTGTTATTGATGGTATATGTGGCAGTGAATGATTTATGCTTTAATTAACAGATGCAGTGTTTTGAGGGCTCACTAAAGATATTGTCAAATTATTCACATTGATCATGTTGGAAAAAAGTATCGTGTGTAGCATAGGTGTTCTCAATCAAAATATTTTGTAATAATAGAAGATCTTCCTGTAGGAAGACTGGATGTGATAGCCTTATGACACGTTTAATTTTATTCTGTTATAAGATCAAAAATAAAAATAAATATTATCTTTCAGATGTGCTACACAGCATAAAAATGAATATAAAATTGTTCATCTGTAATTAGAGCTTTACCCTAAAATTAAGTCAAAAAATAACCAAGTGTTACGTATTTGCTCAGCGTAGTAGTTACATATGACACCAAGACCTGGACTATGAAGGCTGATATGATCAATCGCTTAGGCTCGTTTGAGATTTGGTTGCATAAAAGAATGATCCGAATACCCTGGACAGCAAGTCAGCTGAACGAAGCTGTGTCAAATAAAGCAAGTCTAGTTCGTCGTGAGCTATTGAAAACTATTAAAATAAATTAATGAAAATTAATACTTAGGGCACGTTATTAGAGAAGACCGGTACAGAATTCTTAACCTTTTCGGGAAAGGTAAAATCAAGGGCCACAGAGGGATTTCAATACTCGCAGTGTGGAACAATATAGTTGTGATCTCACTCATGTAACTGCCAACCAACGTGTGGGGACCTAATATGGCACACGAAAAAGAAGATCAAATTACATAAGCAATGGGTCGCCAAAAATGGTTGAGAGTTCGAGATTTAAATTTGTTTTGCTAAAATGTTTGATATTGTTTGTAGATAATTTTATGTGAAATTATATATAATGTGGAATTATAGATTGGTAACTTTCAAACAATTGCAGTCCAACGTATTGAGAAAATTACATAATTCTCACATGCGAGCTGGTATAATATATCGTCAATAAAATAAAAAAGTATCATACCTTTAGTTATCACATAAACGCCAGAACTTGCACTATTCATCTTCAGTTTGAATACTATCGTAAGCAATACAATCATAATTTGTTTTCCCATTTTGATTGACTTAATTCTCGTAAGAAATTAACTTCAAATTTTTCATACATGCCTCACTCGTATATTTTATAGTTTTGTTTAAAAAATGATAACGTTGCGAGTATACAGGAAGATTCGGTGTTTGTATTTTAAGCAGAATTGCCCTTTACAGAAAATTTGGAACACTGTATAGTAGTAGAACTGTGTAAAGGTCTTACATTTGTTTCTATTAAGAACCATATAAATGAAAAAAATATATATTTGTAATAAAACCCTCGACCAATAAATGACTAAATTACTATGCATAGAAAAGACATGTTTTTTTTACACACTTATGACTAAACTTAGGCAAATCTTCAAAATAAAAATATACGCATAAATAATAATTTAACTAATTTACCAAAAAATATGCATTAAATATGCATTTCTTCAAAAAAATATGCATAGAATATGCATTTTTTTAAACTATATGCATTAAATATGCACTTCTTTAAAAAAATATGCATTAAATATGCAGTTTATTTAAAAAATTTGCATTTCTTTTAGAAAATATGCATTTTTTATAAAATATGCATACTATCAACGGAAACCTATATTTAATATCGGTATATTAATTATTGTTTATTTTAACTCTGTAGCAGTAGCGTAACTGGTCCGGCATAGTCTCCTAAACTACTGTTTCTAAGTATGCAAAACAACACACAAAAATAATTTTTTATTAAAATAAATGTTACTTACATACCCTGATATATTTATATAACAATATACGTTTTAGATTTGGGCGTTATTTGGGCAAAGAAAAAAATATTAAAATAAAACTTAAATTCTTCACAAATATTTGAGACAAAGTACATACTTTTGTAAAGTAAATAAAAAAAAAAATATATAAAACCACGTGAAAAAAATGTAGTGCTAGGATAAATGTTCGACAGAATATAGTCTATTATAGATCTTTTTTTCTACTGTTTTTAAAGGTGTATGTGTATTGTTCTGTGTGGGGGGAAAATGTATTATTAATATGTATTTTCTTTATGCTGCAAAGGTCTCTTAGAAGTTCTGTTTAACGAGTGTTAAAATCACCCATAATGCTTATATACTAATATTATGTATATAATCTGATGTTCGAAATTTTTAAAAGACTCAAAAGAACAGCCAGGGTATATGAGCTGGAAGTAAATGAAGAGGAAACAAAGTATATGGAGATGAGAGGAAATAATAAACATTTAAGATAGTTTTCTTCTTCATGTGCCATCTTTGCAGCGGAGGTTGGCAATTACCATAGCAATTTGGACTTTTGAGACGGCTGCTCTGAAAAGTTTAATTTGATGACATTCTACGCCTCCCTATTCTTCTCTTTCCTTGTATCTTGCCCTGCATAACCAGTTGGAGCAAGGGGTGTTTCTCTCCACGTTTAATATGTCCAAGATATTCCAATTTTCTTGTTTTAATTGTATTTAAAATTTATATTTCTTTATTCATCCTTCTCAGAACCTCTGTGTTTGTGATGTGTTCTGTCCACGTTCTTGATCTTTATCTACCCCAGAGAAGGAATATATAGCTTTGAGACAGTTGGACAGTTCGATTATGTAGGAGTAACGTTAAATCAAAAAAAGAATAGTTAAAGTAAAGGTAGTAAAAGTGCTGGAACTCTAATTAAGATGCTGATATCAAAGAAAATATCCAGAGAAGTAAAAACAAGAGTATATACAACGCTTATCTGACCAACGGTGCTTTTTGATAGCGAGACCTGGATCTTAAGCAAATCCATAGAACTGAAGCTAGATAGATGGCCGGGAAAGATGCTCAAAATAATCTATAAAGGTTTAAAGGATGGGCATATTTGTAAAGAAAAACGAATAATGCAATAATGAAAATATATGGGCAACAAAAAATTTCAAACATTGCGAAAGTTCACAAAGACCAAGATGGCTCGGACACGTAGCTATAGTGCAGAAAGGAAGAGTCCTAAAACCACTAAGAAATCCTTAAGGGGCACAAAGAAGAAAAGAGGACAACTTAGCATAAGATAAAAATAATAGGTAGAAAACCATTGAAGCCTTGAACCTCTAGAGTCTGTTGGAGCTGATGTATAAATGTAAAATGAAATCGCCTTGTTATTTTTCACTCAGATTCTTTTTATACACCCATTCAAGAATATGTAGTCTTCATCTCTAAATAAAGTATTGTTTTTTTACTTAATCTACTACTACTGAAACGTTGGTATTTTGATAGCTTTATCATCCTTAAGCATCCATAAAAATGGAGATTTAAATGGAATCATAAATATATTTTAAGTGTTGGGTCTAAGAAATATTAATAATTTTATTTTTCAAGAAATGAAATAAATTTTTGTTATCAGTTACCAGTGGTTGAATCATCCTGTAATTTTGATGCCTTACTTTATCAAAATGTAACAAAAATTTGACAAGATCCGTCCTAACGGGAAGTTGATTGTTTTATTCATTTCAACAATATTCTTATCTTATAATTAATTATCGGTAAATTATCAGTACTTGGGTTTTTTATGAAGTTAATAGTTAAAATAAAACTGAAATATTGTATCTAAAATCTACCTCATATTTTCATTTTCAATACTGTTTTTCTTCTATATTTAATTTTTCTTCTGTATTATCCCCCTATATGGGGTTCAACAAAAACTAACGCTAGAGGCAAGATAGTGGAAGTTATTATGACCTCACAAAATCTTAATCTGTTAAACGATGGTAGGCCCACGAGGTTTAATATTCAAACGGGTAGTCAGTCAGCCATTGATGTATCGTTATGTGATTCAACATTATCTCCATTTCTAGAATGGGACGTTATTTCGTACCTATACGGAAGTGATCACTACCCCATTTAAATTGCGTTTCCACAACAAAAAGACTCTAGTACTGCTACTACTGCATGAAAATGGAATATTAAAAATGCAAACTGGGAAAATTTTACAAAATATGTACAAAATAAAATAAACAACATAAAAGATGTTACTCTTAATGACATAGATAAAGACCTAGATACCTTCATATCAATAATCAACAAAGCAGCAGAAAGTCATATTGGAAAAACAAAAACACTAAAATATCATAAACCTTTACCATGGTGGTCCTCAGAATGCAAAGAAGCAATAAAAACATACAAAAGAGCTTTCAATAGGTTTAAGCATCATAAAACCAATGAAACTATGGCAGAATACAAAAGACGTCGAGCGGAAGCTAGATGTATTCTTAAAAAATGTAGGAAAACGTCATGGCAAAAATTTATTTCAAGTAGAAATAGTTCTACCCCAGCAAGTAAAGTGTGGCAAAATATGAGAAAAATATCTGGAAAAAAATGTTCAAACAAAATACCTTTCCTAGCAAAAGATAACAAAATTATAACCGACCGAAATGAAATTGCTGAACTATTCGCCAGTGAATTTGAGACCAATTTAAGTAACGATAACTATCCACCGGACTTTAAGCTTAGGAAAGAAGGCGCAGAGAAAACAAAGTTGGAGTATCACTCTCACGAGTATAATATACTTAATGTAGCGATTACAATGCAAGAACTCAAGGATGCCCTAATGTCAAGTAAAAATTCCGCTCCAGGTCCAGACGGTATATCATTAATTTTTTTGTTAAACCTACCAGAGACCAGCTATTAAAATTGTACAATTTTATTTGGACAAATCAGGTTTTTCCATCTGTATAGTCAGACAGCATTATAATTCCTCTGATCAAACCCAACAAAGACAGAACAAATATAGACTCGTACCGTCCTATATCACTCACTAATGTAGCATGCAAAGTTCTAAAAAAAATTATAACCAAAAGGCTGTTGTGGTACTTAGAACAAGAAAAACTTTTAATTCCTTAGCAAAGTGGCTTCCGTCAAAATAGATCATGCGTAGACAACTTAGTAGATTTATAGTCAGAGATACACGAAGGTTTTGCAAATAATCAAGAGACCATCGCAGTATTCTTCGATATCACCAAGGCATACGACACGGTTTGGAGATTTAATATTATATCAAAATTACACAAATGGGGAATCAGGGGTAATATGCTAAGATTCATAAAAAACTTTCTTCAGTCAAGAGCTTTCTCTGTTTGTGCCGATAATTTCAGTCCATCAAAAAAAAATTCAGAAAAACGGAACACCTCAGGGATCAGTTATGAGCCCAATTTTTTTTCTCGTGGCTATCAACGATATACTGGATCACTGCTCGCCGCTAGTTAAGGGAAGACTATATGCCGACGATATGGTTCTACTTGCAAAGGGCAAGAATATGAGAATGATTCAAAAACACTTACAAGAATATATTTATAAATTAGAGATATGGTCAATGTCAGTAGGCGTGCAATTCTTCCCACTAAAAACAAAATGTATGTTTTTACCAAGAAGGCACCGGCCACAGAGAACATCTTTAAAACCGTATGGCGAGCCTCTCAAATTCTCAGAAAAAAGTTAATTTTCTCGGAATGGTATTTAACCAAAAACTAACATGGAAACAACATATTTAAGAAATAAAAAAGTCTTGCCAAAACGGATTAAATGTAATGAAAACATTATCAAATAAAAAATAGGGATCCGACGAAACCACGTTAATAAATATTTATAAGTCTATCGTTAGATCAAAAATAGATTATGGGGCTATTGTGTATGCCTCCGCTAAAAAACATGTTACCAAGTAACTGAAGTCATTCAGAACCATAGGTTCGCATTGCCATAGGTGCATTTAGAACCACACCAGTTAAGAATCTCCAATGCCTCACAGGAGAGCCACCTCTTAATCTACGAAGACATTATTTATGTCTTTCGTATGCAGCATCAGTCGCCAGCAACAAATTCCACCCAGTATTTCAAAATGCATTTACGGACCGTTACCTAGAAGCTTATAACAAAAGTAGGTTCGATCCACCATTCTACGAAAGAGTTCGAAGAAATTTAAAAGGTCTACAACTTCAAATTTCTGACCTCTTTCCTTCAAATGTAAAAACTCCACCTCCCTGGTTAATCATGATTCCCGAAATCAATACGACGCTACTCCAATATAACAACTCAGATACATCATTCACTGTAATCCGACAGTCATGTTTAAAGGAACTCTAGACTTACGGGAAAAGCTTTTGCATTTATACAGATGACTCCAAATCTGCAAATGACGTAGGAGCAGCATTTGTCACTCCATATTCCTCTTCCCAATTTAAATTAATGCCAGCCACTTCTATGTACACAGCAGAATTATATGCAATATTACAAGCCCTCATTCATATCAAAAGTACAAACCTTTTTTCTTCCGTCATTATCACAGATTCTCTAAACTCCTTAACAATAATCGGTCAACTATATACTAAGAACCCTATAGCCTTACTTGTTAAGAAAGAACTTGCTGCCTTACAAGAATCTGCTTCAGAAGTCAAATTTATGTGGGTTCCATCTCACGCGGGAATACAAGGTAATGAAAACGCAGACCTCCAAGCAAGAGAAGCTACCAAAAATGATCAAGCTATAATAGTGTCAAAGACTATCTGGAGTGATATAAAACAGTTCGTTAAAGAAAAAGTGATTAGTGCGTGGCAAAACAAGTGGAACTTATCGGAATCTAAATTAAAAGAAATTAAATCGACAGTGAAACCGTGGCGCCTAGTAAACTTAAAAAGAGCTGACCAAGTTAAAATTTCTCGTCTTCGATTAGGTCATACCAATGTAACTCATAAGCACCTAATAAGTAAAGAAGACATTTCAGTGTGTGATTACTCTCAAGTCAATATTACTGTTAAACATCTCCTAACAGAATGTGGAAAATATACAGTTAACAGACAAAATAACAATATTTCCAGTGACTTAAAAACAGTATTAGGTGAACATTGAAATACTAAAAACTTAATTAGATTTCTAAAAGAAACATCTTTATATAATTTAATATAATGTAGTAACTAATGTAAACTAATGTCGCTAATAACCCGGGTGGTTGAAGCGACTATTATTAGTAAAAAAAAAATTTTTTTTTCTTTAGCTTCCTGTTTCCCATGTATTGGATTATGATTTTTATGATGTAGACTATTAGCATATCGGATATGAATGTACCGAAGTTCGCGCGGTCAGTAAAAATAAATTTTTTATAAATTTAGCTTCTACAAAAAACAAAAAATGTACAGACCAAACCTTCAAAATGCTCACGTCCAATAAATTATTTGTGAATCATAAGGTTATGCCTTTTTTACAAATTGCGTCAAATCAAATCTAAAAATAAAAAGAAAGTACTTAAAAATCAATTAGTAATAAATCAATTCCATCTTCTTTAATTAACGAGATTGATGTGATTAATGAAATCATACTATTAGTACCGCCTTTATTATTTATATCCAATATTACTACCAAGTTGGCAAAATACACACAATCAAACTTACATGGAATCACCATATATTTCAAATCAATGTTTATTTCTAAAAAAAAACTTGTTATTGTTGCGATTTTTAGATTTTTATTGAAAATTAGCAAACCGATATAACAATCAGGTAACATAGCTCGGTACGTTTTAGATTATTTGCTATAGTATTTGTACATCAAATGAAGATAAATAAACTTGTTTCTGCGCTCAAAACCTAAAATTTGTTTTATTTTGGGTTAACGTAGACCCAAAAGGAAAAGATTATTGGTCTTATGGAATAAAGAATGTCTCAGAGGGACAGTGGTATGCGTATTACAGCTCGTTGTGTGCAAAATCTTATACTATGTAAAAGGAATTAGTAACGCTTAAAATAGATAACGATAAAGTGGCCAAAAAGTAACAATGGCTCGCTACGATTCTTTCATTGGCCAATTAGCTAGCAGAGACTCAACAATTTTTCACCCACATCTCTAAAGATCACTTTTGGAAGCTACACGTGTACGTATTTAAGTAAAAATGATAAGAAAAAGACTTTTTACCCAAGGACTATACAGGAATAGACATTTAAGGCTTCCCGATTTATCCAGACAGTTCAATATTGAGCGTTTAAATTGGTGTCTTTAACACCAAAACTGAAACATTAGAAATGGGAAAAATGTGCTATTTTCAGTCGAAATTAGGATTTGTGAAAAAGTTGATAATCGACCAATTTATGTACTTAGAGAGCGAAGAAGACAAGCAAAAACGGAAATTGCCAGATCTGTTCACATATATAAGGGAAGAAGTATCACGTTCTAAGGAGGTATTATAATCAGTAATAAAATTCCCTAACTTTTGTCATCAAACCAACTGTAACAGCTTGTAGCTATGTTATTTTGGATCGAAAACCTATAATAAGGACCTTGAAGGTGCAATGGGAGAAAATTTAATTTTCATGCATGATAATGCGCCTGTTAATAGCAGCAGAAGATATCACTATTCTGGAGTGACCTGTTTGATTACCCCTTATGCCATATGCTTAAAAGAAGAATTAGAGCTCACCGGAAGAATACAGAAAACAAGTGCACACATAGTGCACAGCTAGTACGAGCTGCTCTTGAAGAATGGAGACACTTGCCACAATTAAATATTAACAATTTGTTTAGGAGAATGCCCACGCAAATTCAAGTTTGCTTAAGGATTAGGAGTGGTTACACTGACTACTAAAAAACACAAATAAATAAAAACAATATAAACGTTAGTCGTTTTGTACATTTTTATGTTATTAACCTTAGAACAAGTGGTTTCGGTTTATTGTTTCAAGAGTTTATCGTTTTCTTTAATTTTTATGGGCTGATGAGTAAATTGCTTTAAACGAAAATATTATTTGACTTTGTATGATGGTTTTATAAAACTCGCCAGAAATAATAAGAAATACCAGATAATTCCATGTAACTTTGATTAAGTGTAGAACTGATAAATAAAATTACCGTTATGATTTTGAAGAATTAGTAAACAAACTAATAATTGATTTTTTGGTATGATCCTGAAAAGAGTAAAAATAATTTTTTATGATTCTCATAAAAAGATCAAGATCAATAAAATGTATCACTTTCATTGACTGGTCAATATGGAATTTTAATTGTTAGGTGAAAATCTAGAAAACCTATAGCATGAAATATTGTTCTGAAGCTATTTCCTTGTGGTATTTTTAAAAAATTAGTATGTTATTGAATATTAAAATACATACAATTGAAGGTGAATGTAAATATAAACATTAGTAAATTGTAAATTTACTAATGTTTGTATTTTGAGAACGATTTCCGAAGTGGAAATTGAAACGTCAGTAAACTAACTTTAACCTTAATTGTGGCCTATTTCTATTTAAATGGTAATTTCTTTTTTCCACGTTTTATTTCCGTGAATATTTTTTGATTTGCGTCTTTAAGAACTCTATTTTGTGTGTGCTCTTTTAATACTTGCAATTATTCATATTAAAAAAATCAATCATATTGTCTAACGTTTTCTTTCTATCTCTGTTCTTAATTTTTTTCTGCATTTATTTGTATTTGGTTTTATTTCTTCTCCTATATTTCTTCTTTTCTGTCACTACACGATTTCAGTAGTCTCCTACTTTGTTTTTGTTCTTAAAACTTCAGTAAAGAGCATTCGGCTTCAATCCTATATATCGTAGTTTTAATAATATTGAGCAAAAATTAATCGATTTCTATAGGGTCTGGCGTGTGATTCGGGAATAATAAACGACCTCCTTGCCATTAATTCTTTTTAGTGAGGCGTCTTCTAGCCGTTCTCTCAATTACATTCACATTTCGAACCTCCTGCAGACGGTTTCTTGCAGCAATTGCAGTGAAATGGCGATTTCTTAAAAGTTACACCACAGTAAAACAATTATCTCTTTGCGAAGTAACTGTTCAATGATAGGAATTAGATCAACGTGAGTATATACCAGTCTCTATAAAGCGATGGGCATTTCTCCGTACTGTAGTTCTCGGAATACCTCAAGTTTGTGATACATAAACTTGACTTCTTTTGTCTTATAACAATGCAATAATTTAAGAAACATCTACTGTAGATAATACCATATCTTAATTATTCGCTTAGTCGAAATCCACGTTTGGAAAACTAACTTACTGTTTAATTAAATGTTTTCAACTTTAGCTTTTCCACTTTTCAACTGAAGATACTCAGCGACCCAGAAAACAACAAATGTTCGCAAGAAATGTTTAAATTGAGACGCAATATGGAACAGTACATAAAAGTTACAATGAATTTTTATTTTTGAAAATTTATAGGGTGGTCACCTTTTTTGTTGTTCAGTGTATATGTAGCAGCAAAAAACACGAAGGATAGGTAACTGTGTAATAGAAAAAACATTCAAATATCGTAAAAAATAATTCTTTATATAGGTACACTAAAAGATAACTAATGTAAAACAATATTTATTCTACAGATTATGAAATTTTAGATTCACAAACAACGTGTAAGTCCTTATTTTGATATTCGTCATTCCATAGGATGCCATCGTGTGGATTATATCTAATTTCAAGACACTTTTCATTGTCCCTGGCATTGTCGGGCTGTTTTGGCATCCACTTAAAGTATTTTATTGGTAAACCTGTTCCCATCCATACCCATTTGTCGTCCGCGAAGGTGGATCCTGATGACCAAAATCGATATTCATCATCGCCTCCAACTAGAAATGAAAAACATCTGTAAGATTTTTGTATAGATAGATACATTTCAAACAAAATATTGAAGATGTTTGAAGTAGTCAAGTCAACAGTTAATAAAATTCACACTTTATTAAACGAACAAAATTAATTTTTATAACTTTCAACAAGCATTTGATTTAGTTGTTGTTGCTTTTCGTCTGGAGAATAAACAGAATTGTAGAAAATATAAAATTACTAAAACGTGAGATGAAGATTTTGTAACAAGTAAACTGATAGATAACGATTAAAATTATTAGTAGTTTGTTTAATCGTACTTTGAAATTACACATGGGCTACTAAAAAAAATAGTTATAAAAAGTTTTTTTTAACCAAATTTATGGCAATAACAGATTGCCGACTTTGATTTTACGCCCCTCAAATTCAAACTAAAATAGCATTTTAAATTTGAAGCAATAAAATAATTATTAACAATCTTCTTCTTCTTCAGTTAAACCAAGCTTTCAAATTATTTAACCAGGAGATGCGTTTATAACTTTATAACAAGGCAGTTTATAACTTTACTGTTTTTTTTTTAACTTTACTGTTGTTAAAGGTGCCTCAAAATCTCCACTTTCGAAGAAAAATGTATTTTCATACTCTTGGACTGAGGACATAATTGGCAAAGGACCAAATGAAAGTTCCTCTGTAGTCTTTTATTGAAGGTACGACTGGTTGCCGATGGATGCAGTGGCCAAAATAAAAACTTTGATTGGTATGACTGCAAATGACTAGCCGAGAGCACATCACCAAATGTTAAATTACTTGAGTGTTTTTTTTCTGTAGTTGGTCACTCATTTTGACCATCCGATAGAGTTTTCGGTCAAATTGAGAATTAACGAAAACCAGAAGTAGTAATGACACCTGGCGAATACAAGGAAATTATTTCCAAATTTTCTACTCTTAGTCACTCATTTTTACCATACGATAGAATTTTTAGCCAAATTGAAATGAATTTATGAAACCGAGATGTAATAATGACACCGGGCCAATACAAAGAAATTATTTCCAAATTTTCTACGGTCGTTGATATGAAACAAAGCTGTGTTTACGATTGTAAGTCTGCTGTTCAAGAGATTCTTAAACCAGTAACATGGGGTTTTCAGTTTAAGGAATGCAAAAGGTACATTTTAAAATGAGGTAAATTTCATTACAAAAACGATTTTGGATCTTTTCTAAATATCACACAAAAAGGCAAACAGATTAGCATTATCAATCCAGTACAACTTATCCCCGATGCTCACACAGTAAATAATTTAAAATTGCATGATGAGCGAAATCTTTTGACCAAACATTTTTGTTTAGACTGAACACAACTCGATCAGCTTAACTACTATAAAGAACTTTTGCAACGTTATGATAAGAAGCAAACGAGAACTACTTGAAGAATCCTTTTTCAGACTTACAGTCTGTCGAAACCTGTGAATATATACCCGAACTTCCGCATATTTTAGTTTAAATAATATGTATATAAATTGATCACATTATATTATTGTGCAATATCAAAATATATTTTTTTTCACTAAGTAACTGACACAATGAAGTTTTATTAGTTTTAAAACTGACAATATCCTTATTGATCATTTTCAAATCCGTCAATTTCCAAGCATTGCAAACAAAAACAGCAATCTAAAACTAAAATAGTAAAAAAAAGGAAAAGAAATAAAGAAATTTCTTAAGCCTCTCTTTCTGGACATCTGATCACAAACCAGATGTTATATCATTATTCATCAGTTTTATTGTTTTAGATTTACAGTTTTTCGCGGTTTTCCAAATTTATGGCAATGACAGATTACCGACTTTGATTTTACACCCCTCAAATTCAAACTAAAATAGCATTTCAAATTTGAAGCAATAAAATATTTATTAACGATCTTCTACTTCTTCATGTGCCATCTCCTCTAAGAAGGTTGGCAACCATCATGGCAATTCATACTTTCGACGCCGCTGCTCTAACGAGGTCAGGAGAAGTGCAGTTAAACCAAGCTTTCAAATTATTCAACCGGGAGATGCGTCCTCTTCCGCGACACATTATGCCCTGTATTCTGCCTTGCATTATTAATTGCAACAAGTTATAACGCTCGCCCCTCATAACATGTCCCAGATATTACAGTTTTCTGACTTTAACTGTATTTAAGACCTCTTTATCTTTTCCCATTCTTCTCAACACCTCGACATTCTTGACTCTATCTACCCAACTTATTCTTAATATTCTTCTGTAGGCCCATAACTCGAAGGCTTCCAATCTGTCCGAAACATCTTTCTTTAAAGTCTAAGCCTCTAACCCATAAAATAATACGGAGAACACTTAGCATCTCAGAAGTCTTATCTTTAAAAAAATTGAAATGTCCCTGCTGCAGAGTACTTTTTTTCAGTTTGTTGAAAAGAATTTCTTGCCTGTCCTATTCTTGCCTTAATCTCTTCTGTGTACTCATTATTTTCATTTATTATTGTACCAAGATATTTATATTTTTCAACTTTTTTAATTTGTTCTCCATGTATTGTTATGTTTTTTGTTTTTAGGGACAGTCCATTTTCTTCACTGACTTCTACCACTCTGTGAACCATTTGTTGTAAATCCTCAAGACATTCCGCTAATAAAATAGTGTCGTCGGCAAACCATATACTATTGATTGGTCGGCCATTTGCTTTTATTCCCATAGTTAGTTCTTCTAGTGCTTCCTGGATTATTTCATCTGAATACAAATTAAACAAAGTAGGAGACAGGACACAGCCCTGCCTGACGCCCCTCTTAATCTGTATTTCATTTGAAAAGACGTTGTTCTCTTTTACCACAGCGATCTAATTATAATAGATAGCGCTAGTGATCCTGATGTCTCTCATATCTAAGTTTTTCTTTTCAAGTAATTCGATAAGACCGTTATGTCTGACCTTATCGAAGGCTTTGTTGTAATCCAAGAAACACATATATACTGGCTGATTAACATCCAAGCACCTTTGCACAAGTACATTTACAGCGAACAGGACTTCCCTCGTTCCTAGTGCTCATATTAACGATAAGAGAGGAATAAAACACAGACGATCGTTTTTTTGTCTAGAGACTCAGTAAAAAATTGTTTTTTAAGACAACCTAAACAAGGTTAGAGAGAGGTCCCAGTATACTAAAATTAAGTCAGAAAAGCGACTCAACAAGCCAAAAATAATAAAGCACCCAGACCAGATCAGATTCCTGCTAAGCTGCTTAAACTTTTGAACGGGGAAAACATTACCTACTTAACAAACTTCTTTAACAAAATTTACAACGAAGGAACAACACCAGATAATTGGTTGGAGTCACTATCACTAATCAGTTTGATAGGCCACACACTTAAGATAGATACTTTTACGAATTATAAACAAACGAGTATTCCTTCTGTGCGAAAGTAAAATGGGTATTAGTTATTAATATTTGGTACTCCTAATGTATTGCTCTCTTTGTTTTTTTTACAAACTAAATTTTATATCCATTATTTGAAGAATAACGTGAAGTTACATAAAAACTTGACATTGACAACGTGACACATTTTGCAAATACATATTTAAAAAGTGTGTAAAAACCATTGTGTTCGCTATGTTTTATATAAATCCACAATCCTTACATATCAATTTCATCTTCTCAAAAAGAAAATCATTTTCTGCTTCCGTCTCAACGCTAACTAGGTCCATATTGAGTAGTTTACAGTGTTGCATAGCTTCAAACCAGGTTCCCTAAAACAAGAAAATTTTATTTAATTAAATTAGGAAATAAGTTTTTTTAAGGTACAAAAAATTAACATAATGTGAATGATATCAGTTTTAGGCCTGATCTAATTAAATTTAGTGCTAAGAAAATGTGTAAGTTGGACCGTAACGCGGATGGTACGCGGATGATACTCTTTGAGCGATGAGTAAAGATCTGCATTGAAGATGTCAAGGCAGTGTTCTTTTAAAGAAAAAAGTGTAAACGAAGTATTAATGATAACTTGAAAGTAAAACTCATCAAATCTTACATCTTCTCGACATTTTTGTATTAAGTTTAAAGCTAGACACTCATTAAATCTCTATTATACAGACTTAATGTTTTTGAAATGAGGGTATATCGAAGGCTTCTATGCATAAGCTAAGTTGATAGATTAATAAATGAAGAGATATTGTAACGTCTAAAAGAACAACTCAAAATAGGAAAAAAATTTAAAATGTGAAAATTTGAGTATTTTGTCCACATCATGACACACCCAGAACGATATAGAGTCCATCTTATTATTTAGGTTAAAATGTCTGTAAAAAGAGATCCATGCCAAAGAACATAATGGCTTCGTAATCTACGTGCGTGGTTTAATCACCCTTTAGAGTGGTCAGTTTTCAGAGGTGCCATCAAAAATAATTTAATAGACAACGGATATGGTACGGAGAACAGAAGAGAATCCATAATTGGTACACTTTATTAATGTGTTCTAATAAGCTTTTAATAAAAGTAATAAAACTGATTTTCAAATATTTCCTAGAGATTATATACTCTAACAGTATATTTAGGGATGTTTGTGGAGATGAATTTTTAGTTTTACCTTTCACAAACCTGAACAATGTAATAACACATCACAAGCAATAAATATTCAGAAATATCTTAGAGAAATTACTGCAAACCAATAAAAGAACTATTTAAATAAAAGAAGAATTCTAGAGGGGAAACATTTTCTGAAGATAAATAAATGACTTCAAGAACATAATGGTAATAATCCACCTGCGCAAGCTAGTATTAGTTGAAGATATACTACAAGCCCACTGGCTACAATACCACCGACTTAATAACAGACAGCTTGTATGAAAAAAAGTAAATATAACATAAAATTATGATATATATATATAAGATCTTGAAACAAATATTATTTCTAAACAAAATATAAAACCCTTAGTATGATGAAGATAATGTATTCCCAATATGGCCTCATCGATTAGAGTTGTTGGACCCATTCCTGATATAAACGATAAAGAAGAGACAATAACATTTATTATGAAAAAGGA